CGTGAAAGCCGGGGCGGGGCCGCGTAGAAGCCGGGGCGGGGCCGCGCGAGAGCAGGCGGCGGGGCCGCGAAGGAGCCGGGGCGGGGCCGCGTGAGAGCAGGCGGCGGGGCCGCGTAAAGGCCGGGGCGGGGCCGCGACAGAGCCTGCTGCGGGGCCGCGTGAGAGCCGGCGACGGGGCCGCGTAAGGGCCGGCGGCGGGGCCCCGTCAGAGAGGGCGGCGGGGCCGCGTCAGTGAAAGCGGCGGGGCCGCAGGGAAAATGACGACCCGAGGGGTCGCTAAAAAAAATCGCGCCTCGGGGGGGCGCTTCGGTGGGCCCAAAAAAAAACGGTCCGTAGAAGGACCCGCTCTATACCATGTGAGAATAAGCAAACAGGAATGAATGAACTAGCAGTGAAATGAGTACAAGTAGGAAACCCTAGAATTGTGTACCCCCTATAGGCTAACCCACTGTAGCCTACACAAGCAGAGCATATATAATGTTTGACACAGTCAACGGGGCAGTCAGCTTCGCCATGTCGGGGATGAACCGGCGCACGTAGTTGACGAACCCCAAAAAACTCTGCAACTCGGTCAAGTTGGTCGGCGCGTGCCATGCTTGAATCCTCGCAATTGTCTTCGGGTCTATTTCCACGCCTGCAACTGAAATAACGTGTCCCAAAAACTCCAGAAGGTCCTGTAAAAACTCACACTTAGACGCTTTTGTCAGTAGGCGGTTCTCACTCAGTATCTTAAAAACTGCTTCGATGTCCCGTAAGTGCTATGCTCTGTCAGGGCTGTAAATCAGTATGTCGTCCATGTATACTATGACGCACTTATCTAAGAGCGGGCGGAAAGCTTCGTTCATGGTCATTTGAAAAGTGGTGGGGGCGTTGGTCAGTCCGAAGGGCATGACGGTGTATTTGAAGGATCCGTAGCGTGTGCGAAAAGCGGTCTTAGGGCAGTCGGGCGGATTGACGCGAACCTTGTGGTAACCCCCTCGGAGGTCGATTTTCGAGAAAACCCGGGCTGTGCAGAGTTGGTCGATCAGTTCGTCGGCTCGCGGGATGGGGTAACGGGATTTGATGGTAACCCTGTTCAGTGCTCTGTAATCTATGCACATGCGAAATCCCCTGTCTTTTTTCGGTGTGAACAGTATCGGTGCTGCGAAAGGCGACGAACTAGGGCGAATGAATTCCTTCTTGAGCAGGTAATCGAGCTGCTTCCTCAGTTCGTCAAGTTCGGGCTGGGTCAGTCGGAACTGTCACTGTACTGTTGGCTGTGCCCACGGTTCTAACTCTATCCTGTGGTCGTGCGGTCGCTGAGGTGGCAGTCCCGTTGGTAAATCGTCCGGGAAAATGTCGCTGTACTGCTTCAACATTGCTGCCAGATCACTCGGTAAGTCGGCTAGTAGTTTCTGTAAATCCCCTCCTTTGTCTGCTGCCTCGGCTTCCCGAACGTCAATCGCGTACACGTCAGCTTCTGCCGCTACGGCGCGTTTCATCGTGATCGCGTTGACACGCACCGACGAAGACTCAGGCGAGCCCCAGCGAGGTAAGGCGATGTTGTTACCGTTCACTCGCACGGTGCAGACACACGTCGTCCACTCGATTCGCGGATTGTGTCGTCGCAGCCAATCACGCCCGAGTAAAATATCGGTTCCTTCGAGGGTCGTTGCGAGCATTTCCTGGCCAAACGTGAAGTTACCCCCACATCGAATCCGAACCCGGTCTACGCGTTCCCGTATCGCCAGCGGCGTGCCGTCTACCAGTCTTGCGTCGATCTTAGGTAAACATCTGTCTAGTGGGAGTCGCAGTTTTTGTGCTGTGGCAGTGTTGATGAGGCTGTAGCTGGCTCCCCCGTCTACGAAGATTTTTACTAAGTCCGTCCCAATTTTCCCACTAAGCAGTATGGGGCTGTCTACCGTAGTCCCCTCCTTATTCGGCCGGGTGTGGTCGATTGCGTGAACCGGCACAATCACTCGGTGAGGGTCGGTTGGGTCGGGCGAGCGGCGTGACCTGTCAGTAGAGGGCCCGTCTGCTACTGACTCCCAGCGTTTCCCTGCTGCTTGGTCTGTTTCTGCTGCTCAGCTTCCCCCTTTCCCTTAGCGTTTTCCGGGCATTCGCTCTTGCGATGTCCCGGCCGATTGCACGCAAAGCAGCGCCCTTTGAACGGTGCGGCAGCGGCATTTGCGGCGACGGCACGTATCGTGGCGCCCTCGTTCGTCCCACGAGGCCGATGTCCCCAATGGCTGCTTTCGTAGGGCCCCGGTCTCGGTCGGCGGAAGAAATCAAGTTTCTCCGCCATAGCGAGAATTTCTTGAAAGTCGGTGACGCCGCGAAGCTGGATTTCCTGAGCGATGTCCTGCTTCAGGCCGCCGATGTAGCGGTCGATGCGCTCGCTCTCGTGCATATATCCCACCTGCTCGCATAGCGCCAGTAATCCGCTCGTGTAGTCTTGGACGGAACCAAGTTGGCGCCAAGTGCGGAGCTTCTGTCGCGCCGCGATCAAAGCCGCGATTGGCTCGAAACGAGCGCGCAGACCTGCGCACCACGCGTCCCACGTGCGATACTAGGGCACCTCCACGAAATACGACGGCCCCCAGGGTCCGGTTTGTCCTGCCCGTGTCGGTAGAGTCGCGTAGTCTAACGGCTTTGTGACGATGACGCGCCACCAATCCATGGCGGGTCCTCGCAGCAACGACACGGCGTAGCGGATTTTCGCCGTATCCTCCCAGACGTAGTTGGCGTCGAAAAACACGTTCATCGTGAACAACCACGCCTGAACGGTAGGACCACTCCGTTGGCTGGGATCGAAGCATGGCGGATGCTGCGGCTTCAGCGGCATCGGTGACGGCAGCGTCGAACCGTCGGTTGGTGCCGAAATTGTGACGCGTGGCTGGCTTCAGGCCGCATTCGTCGCTTCGGGGTGTGTCGTGTCGTGGTTTTCGTCTCCGTCGGGGCGGACGACGCCATCACTGGCCGTGCTTGCGGGTTACCCCACGCTTCCGTGTTGTGATGCCTGTGGTGCGGGCTGTTGCGGAGTGCCAGGTGCTTGAGATTGTGCCTGTTGTGCTCGTGTGAGGTCATTTTGCAGGGACGAGCGTTCTGCCGTCAGCGCCGCGATTTCCTCGGCGCTCTCGCGGATTTGCCGCAGCAGATTGTTCAAGTGCTCCTGCGTGAGCGTCGTGATATCACTGTGCTCGGCCATTTCGAAGGGTGTCGGCTCGTCTTAGTCTAGGTGCAGTCGTGGCTGCACGCGTTTACGAGAGAACGCGAGGACAACGGCTCTTAGGTGCTAAGGTGCGTGAGTCCCTTCGAGTGAAAAATCAAAAGTTGATTTCCTGGGGTGCGGAGATGCGCGGCCCGAAAGAAAGGGGCTCTGAATACCAAGTGTTACGGGTGCAATGAATCGAGATAGCGAGAATTGCACTAAGGTGTCAAACGAGTACAAAGATGTGAGCGAAGGCATGAGCGAACATTTATACGCGAACATGTAAACGGTAACGCGGTGCGTGCGAGCTAGCTAGCGCTACGCTGGCAGCGAGGCTCGGGCTAGTCCCGAAGCGTAGGACGACACGGCCGGGCCAGCAGTGCGAGGTTTGGCAAAACAGTGCGCGCGAAGTTGGCGAAGTCCCGTTAGTAGTAACGGGCGAACAATGGCTGTTGCTGTACGCGATGTAGTCGGGCTTCGTAAGGAATGCCGAGAAATTTCCTTAGAGTATTCTATGCTGCATCTTGTATCTACAAGTGCCAGTATTTGCTATTGCGACGAAAGGGCTCGCGTCGCGTCGTGTTGAAGCAAACGGGTTTGCAGCATCTTCCAGTGGCGGCGATGACTGGCGGGCAGGGAAACGAGGCAAATTTCGCATCCTCCTTACCACGAAACTCGCACCGCACCCCATGTTAGGCAATTGTTTGACATTTCGCTGCGGGCGCGGCTCGGTCGGTGAGTCTGCCCGGTTTACTCGTCCCCCTTCATACTACACTGCTTCTTCCTGCTCCTTCATGCCCTCCTACTTCCTCATTATCCTTCGTTACAATCACAGACATTATCTGTACCCTCCCCTCTTCCCACTTGCTTTCATCCGTTTCGCGTTATCCCCAAGTTCGCTACCAGGGCGCGGCTCATACCTTCACCGCTTTCTTGCTCAACTACTATCAGAAATGGGAGGTGCGCTTTTGAGTTGAGCCGTGTCATCTTCATCATCACACGTTCACCCTTCCATGACCAACCACGCCACGAGTCTTCGAACCTGTTCTTTTCCCACACGAAGTTACAACGCCCGTGTCAGGGGCACATGGAGCTTAGAATGTGAGCAGCTCGCTAGTTCTTAGCACTTGGAAATAACAATTCCATCGACCGTCAGCAAGGCAGAAGCAGCAGCACCACTCGAGCAGATACGATACGAGGTTGTTCAATTAGCCCCTCGGCACGAGCCAGGTCACTCTAATCTGTCCGGCTCTTTTTTACTCGCTTCCCCAATGTACGGTACATCACTTTCGAGATTTCTCAAAGGTAGCTAGCTGCTGCCACTCTCGATCCCCCGCTGTGCGCCACTTTCGAGATTACCATGGCCAGGCCACCCTTCCCCCTCGTGTATGCGAATTTTGAGGCTTCTCAAATGATTTCTCAAATTTCCCCCTCGTCTCAAATGATTTCTCAGAGGTAGCTAGCTGCTGGCGCTCTCGATCCCTGCTGTGCATTACCATGGCCACCCGTCTCCCCCCTCGTGTATACGACAGCTGCTCTAGTCCTGTGAGCCAACCGCACGACTGTAGCACGCGTGCTCATAGCATCCTTGCTTGTAGTACGCGTGGTTACAGCCCTGGCGCGCGACGCGGGGCCGCACACTGTTTCTCAGTGTACAGTACGGCATCCGCCCGTTGTAAGACTCCCGTTCGCTATGATACATCTGTTTGCTCGTCTCGCGTCGTTTCCACCCGTACGCGGAGGTTACATCGACTATTCTTGTTTTGGACCTGGAACCTCGCTGTACTGTCACTCGTTACTCTCACACCGCATGGCAGCGACGTTCGTTCGTTTGTCGCAACCGCGTCGCCAGAAGCGACAATCTCCCAACAGACGACCCGCTTAGAAAAGCGACAGCAGCAGCAACTTCAAGAGCAGGAGCAGGAGCGGGAGCTGGTGCGTGTCCCTCCCTTGTTCCGCCTCGATCGCTTCTTCGGTTCCGCCTCGGACAGCATTTGGAAAACGCCGGGCGGAAGCGCAAGCGATGGCGGAAGCGTTGGCGCAGGGGAGAAGAAACGGAGTGAGGCAGATGACGCAGTGGGGGAAAAAAGTGGGGGAGTGGGGGGAGGAGAAGGGGGAGGAGATGCCGGCAATTATCTGATAGACCCGGGAGACGGCACTAGCGGGGACCGCGCGGAATTCCCACCCGCGGAGCTCTTCACCGCGCGGAACTTCCCCGTGAGGCTGCCGCGGCGGAAGGGGAGGCGGAGAAAGGGCGATCGGGAGGAGGATGTGGGAGGAAAGACGAACCCAGGCACGGTGGAAGGCGGTTCGGTGGGGCAAGATTCTTGGGTGCTCCCAGTAACGGGGGATGGTTTTCCTATGACACCGTACCAAGATGTGATTGAAGCGGGGGAGAAGAACGTGGACTGTCCGTACCGGTCGCGCGGCGCGGGAGAGAATCTGTACAGATGCGCCATGGGTTACGCCGCACTTGCCGGCGTGACTGGCGGGCTGGGGAAGCCGGTTTATGTGGTTACCAGTGACGTGGATAGGGCCGAGGACGTTCCGGAAGGCTCGCTAAGATGGGGTTTAAGTAATTATCCTGAGGGTGTGATTATACGCTTTAATAGCTCGATGCTGATTAGCTTACAGAAGCGGCTGTTTCTGCAGTCGCACGTGACGATCGACGGTCGCGGCGCGAATGTGATTATACGCGGAGGCATGGTTCTGCAGAACATCACGAATGTGATCATACACAACGTGGCGAGTGAGTGTAACGGTTGAGAGCGAGAGCGGGCGAGGCGAGGGGGAGAGGCGAGGGGGGGTAGGGGGGGGGGTGGCGGGGAAGTGGGGAGAGGGTTGTTGTTTGGTGGAGCTTGTGTATAGACGGAGCGCGGAATTGAGCAGGGGAGGATGGGAGCGGGAAATTCTCGAGGTTGAGCGGTTTGGCGTCATGGTATTTTCGTCGAGGGGTTTGGCGAAGGAACACGGAAGTCAGGGGAACGTTTTTCTTACGTTTTTCCGCAGTGGGGTTACGAGTCTAGTGGCGGACGAGGTATGCGCGCAGTCTCGCGCACCGCGTCCCCTCCCCTCCTCCTCCCCTCTCCTCCCCCCCCCCTCCTCCCCCCCCCCCCCGCTTCACCAGCCCCCCTCCCCCCACCCGCCCCCCCTCCCCGCAATCGCTAACTGCATCATCCGCTTCCCCCGCTGTTCTGGCGTTCCGCCATCTCCTTGGCAGTCCGAAACCAGCGCAACGATGCGCGTCGCGTGTCGATGCAGTCGGCGATCATGACATGTTGTTGCACATCCCAATGAGTCGGCCTCGAAGTCCCCCTCTCCCTTTCATACCCCCCATCTTCCTCGCTTTTCCCCAAACCCCCATGAGTCGACCAGCGCGGCAACCACGACGTGGTGCACATTGCAATGGGCTGACCCCGAAATCCCCCTTCTCTCCATCCACCTCCCTCCCCCTCTCCCCCCCAACCCGCACAGTCGGCGACCAGCGCGGTGACCATGTGGTGCCGCACGACAAAATGGCCCGATCCCAACATCCCCTTCCCTCCCACACACCCCCCGTTCTCCCCCCTGCAGTCGGCGATCAGCGCGGGGATCATGACGTGGTGCACATTGCAGGCACGACGCGCGTGTGGGTGGACCACTGCCAGGTGTACAAGGCCATACGCGGTACAGTGGACGCCGTTTACGGCTCAACGGACATCACCATCAGCAATTCGTATATTAGCAACCGGTAAGTAGCGCCTCATACATATTTCCGTACATGTACATGTACTGTACACATATACATGCACACACGTACCTCCACAATGCTGCTATTGCCTGGGTTGCCAGAAGTAGCTGCTCACCTGCTCCCCTCTCACCCACCTTCCCTCATCATGCTTCCAGGAGCAGATGGCGATGGCGTATACGGCGTGGACATGATGGTCTCTGATGTGTGATGCTGCCCCCCTGCCTTCCACTCGTGTGCCCGAGCAGCAACCTCACCATGCTGCTAGGAGCAGAAGACGACGGGGTATGCAACGTGGACGTGCAAGTAACGATCTACCCCCCCCCCCCCCCCCACCCCCCCCCCCCCCTCCCCCTCCCCCCCCCCTCCTTTCCTCTTTTCCCCCTTCATATACACCCATTCCCCTGCTGGCTCTACTCCGCCCCTTCCCACCCTCACAGCAACCTCACCATGCTGCTGGCCGCAGTTGTCGACGGGGTATACGACATGAGGGTAACCTCTACCCCTCACCCTTCAACCACCACCCCCCACATATACCCATTCCCCTGCCTCCACTCCCCTACCTTCCCACCCTCACAGCAACCTCACCATGCTGCTGGGTGCAGAGGACGATGGGGTATACGACGTGGACATGCGGGTAACGCGCTACCGCAACTGGTTTGACAAGTCGGGGCAACGGCAGCCCAAGGCACGGTGGGGGAGGGAAGGGTCCACGTGGCCAACAGCCTCCACATCTAACTGCACCTGTACTCCTGCCTCTGCGGTCGTATGACATCTTCTCACCTCTCTACCTCCCTCTCCCCCACCTTCTTCCCCTCATGTGCCCATCCTCACAGCAACCTCACCATGCTGCTGGGTGCGGAGGACGATGGGGTATACGACGTGGACATGCGCGGGTAACGCGCTACCGCAACTGGTTTGACAAGTCGGGGCAACGGCAGCCCAAGGCACGGTGGGGGAGGGAAGGGTCCATGTGGCCAACAGCCTCCACATCTAACTGCACCTGTACTCCTGCCTCTGCGGTCGTATGACATCTTCTCACCTCTCTACCTCCCTCTCCCCCACCTTCTTCCCCTCATGTGCCCATCCTCACAGCAACCTCACCATGCTGCTGGGTGCGGAGGACGACGGGGTGTACGACGTGGACATGCGGGTGACCCTCTACCGCAACTGGTTTGACAAGTCGGGGCAGCGGCAGCCCAAGGCGCGGTGGGGCAAGGTCCACGTGGCCAACAGCCTCTACTCCAAGTGGTCCTATTACTGCCTCGGCGGCCGTATGTACGCTGCAATTCGCTCCGACCGTAATATCTTTATCGCTGGAGACGCGCGAAAAGAACTCACCCCGTGGTTTGGGGAACGCGCCCTTTGGACGGAGGGGTTTGATACGACTCCCGTGATCCGGTCGTTTGGGGATTTGCTGGTCAATGGAGCGACTTTTACCGAGTTTAACGCGGATTTGTCGATTTTCGACCCGCCGTATCGGCTGCCGATGCACACTGCGGATAGAGAGCTCACGCACTTTATACGCGTTAATGCAGGGCCTAGAAACGGGGATGTTCCTGAGCTGCTGTGCACGCCTCAAACCTGCTTCCAGTGAGGCTGTAGCAGAGTGGAGAGGGGTTGAATGGGTGCAGGGATGAATGGATGTAGGGATAGAGGGATAAAGAGATACAGCTGCCCTCTTTGTTTTGTACCATGTCCCATCCAGTACTCATGTGAAGCTGGGAATAAATGAATGCCACGCCTGGTGGTCTTTCTGTATGGCTGCTTTTGCTGGTTCTGGTTGTTGTAGCACCTTGTAAAGAGTACAGCAAATCTGGCGTCTTCTCTCAAATGAGACTGATGTAGCTGCTGCAAAGCTGTTTCTTCTCTGGCAAAGGCTGCCTGCCAAGTACTGGTGCCGTACCATTTCCACTCCCTTGTGAATCAACCATTTCTTGAGCCCCGCCAATGACACCAGAATCTGAACCGCTACAGTACAGCACAGTACAGCACAGGCCGGCCGGACAGGCAGACAGCACCTCCTACCCTGACCAATCCAGCCCATTGGCTCTTGTGATTTTACCATCTCATTGGAACAGAAACTTCACAGTATAACATCTACAATTCCCAACAAAAGCTCCACAACTCTGAACCACAACCCCAGCCTACCATACTTCACCCAGGCCTTCTGCTTCCGTCCAAAGATCAATTTCTGAGTCGACTCCAAGATCACATTCCTTTGATTGGATCAATCATCCCAAATCAACCAACTCCGATCAGTTAGTTTTCTTTTCCACCTTGGCAGCATCTGAGCCAGCCTTGATCGTCGCCTGCTTGAGTTTTTTCTTTGAGCTGCCCCCCTCGCTGGGCAGGCAGAGGAAAGCCAGCAGAAGGCCGATGAGGAAGGCGGGCTGGATGGACGGTGGTTGCACCTAGGAGGAACAAAGGGGATGAGAAGGAGGGGTAGAGACGTGCTTTGAGGCGGCTGAAAAGGTGAGAGGGGGTTGAGAGGAGGGGACCGATAAGGAAGGCGGGCTGGATGGATGGTGGTTGCACCTAGGAGGAACAAGGGGGGTGGGAGGAGGAGGGAGTTCGAAGGGGTCAGAGGGGTGGGAGGAGGGAAGGGGTAGAGATGAGTTTTAAAACGCCTTAAAATATGACAGCAGCAGGGTAATGAAACAACCTGGGCTGGATGGCAGGTGGTTGCACCTTGGAGGGCCAGGGGGAGGAGGGGGGTCAGGAGGAGTAGTAACGAGATTTGAAATGCCTCAAAACATGGCAGAAGCAGGTTGATGACAGAAGGCGGGCTGGATGGCAGGTGGTTGCACCTCGGAGGGCCAGGGGGCGGAGGCATGTAGGGGAGGAGGCATGTAGGGGAGGAGGCATGTGGGGGAGGAGGCATGTGGGGGAGGAGGCATGTGGGGGAGGAGGCATGTGGGGGAGGAGGCATGTGGGGGAGGAGGCATGTGGGGGAGGAGGCATGTGGGGGAGGAGGCATGTGGGGGAGGAGGCATGTGGGGGAGGAGCACAGAGCTTAAAATACTAGATCGATACAAAAAAAAAAAAACAAAGAAACAGGTACAGAGGCGAGTTTCTGAGTGTATTTGATAAGGGGCCTTGTCAAGACACGAATTCGTGTATACAGAGGCGACTTTTGAGGCACCTTGAAGCTGACAGTGGGCTCAATGGAGGCTGGAAATTAACCTTGACGAGGCCACAGTCCCTCGGTGGCGTGAGGGTACCTTGGATGGGTCGGGAAGGTACCTTGGATGGGTCGGGAAGGTACCTTGGATGGGTCGGGGTAGGTGTGAGGGAGCAATATGGGGCGCAGCAGCCCCCAGAGCAGCAGCAGGTAGCCCAGCAGCGGCATGCGGGCCGCTCTGAACTGGGCTGCTATGGCTCCCCCCACCGCGAAATAGCTGCCCACCACCAGCTGGGGAGGGGGGCAGAGGAAGGGAGGGGGTCAGGAGAGGGTTGTTGAGGTGCACTTTAGAAGCAGCAGGGTGACTTCTGAGTCGACTCAAAAGGGGTCAAAAGAGGGTTGTTGAGGTCGACTTTAGAAGCAGCAGCAGCCTCCAGAGCAGCAGAAGGAAGCCCAGCAGTGATTTCAAACTCTTATCTTCAGCACTAATTTCAAACCCTGATTAGAGCCTCAACCAGAACAGAAACCCAGAATCCTAATCTTCTCACCTCAAGGGGCAGCAGAGGCAAGCCGGGGTCAGCGGGATCCTCTGGCCCAACAAAGGGCTTCTCGTACTGCTCTTTGTCAAAAGGCCCCAGAGGTACTGCCTGCCACGATGGCAACCGCTGCCACAAACGTCGCAGCCCAATTCCTCCCGCTTATTTCATAACCCAACCCTGAACCCTGAACCCGAACCCAAGTTTCAACCCCAAACCCAAATTTCAACCCCAAACCCTAGTTTCAATAACGAACCCAATGTTTAACCCCGAACTTTAGTCCCCTCACCTCAAGGCGCAGCAGAGGCAAGCCAGGGTCAGTGGGATCCTCTGGGCCGTCAAACGCCCTCTCATACTGCTCCAACACAGACTGCTCCAGGGTGCTGCTGCTGTTCAACCCTGAACCCAAAACGCCTACCCCAAACCCAAATTCCCTCACCTCAAGGCGCAGTAGGGGCAGACCGGGGTCAGTGGGATCTTCTGGCCCATCAAACGCCCTTGCGTACTGCTCCTGAAAAGACTGGCCCAGGGTGCTGCTGCTGTTCAACCCTGAACCCCAAACCCCTAACCCAAATCCAATTCCCCCACGTCAAGGCGCAGTAGGGGCAGGCCGGGATCAGTGGAATCCTTGGGACCATCGAACGCCCTCTCGTACTGCTCCAGCACAGAGTGCCGCAGGGGTAATACTACAGCTCCAGGGGGTGCTGCAGCTGAACCCTGAACCCTAAACTCTTCATCCCAACCCCAAACCCGAACCCCCTCACCTCAAGGCGCAGCAGAGGCAGGCCGGGGTCGGTGGGATCCTCTGGACCATCGAACGCCCTCTCATACTGCTCCAGCACGGAGTGCCACGCTGGCAGGCGCATCACCGCCGCCACGTCACCGTCCAGCAGGGCGGCGCCCACGTGGCGCGCCACCTCACCGGGGTAGACGACGGCGGAGAGGAGGACAGGTGGCAGCCAGATGGGGTGGCAGAGCTGTGTGATGACGACAGCAATGGGTGAGTCCACCTGGCGGTTGGATATTGTTATGCTGGCAGCATGGATCAACAGCAGGACGGGAAGGGGAGGGGAACGCAGGGGGAAGGGGAAGGGGGAGGGGGAGGGGGAGGGGGAAGGGGAGGGGAAAGCAGGGGGGAACGGGGAGGGAGGAGTGGGGATGCATGGCAGGAGGGAAGAGGCAGTGCTGTGTGATGACCACTGCTATGGGTGAATCCACCTGGCGGTTCGATATGGTTATGTTGCCAGCATGGCACAACAGGACGTGGGGAAGGGAGTGCGTAGCGAAGAGTGTGGGGCGAGGGAGAAAACGTGAGGGTGTTGGAGGATAGGGTGAGGGTGGCTGAGGGGGGAAACGGATGAGGGAGGGGAGGAGGACAGGTGGCAGGAATATGATGTGCCAGAGCTTCGTGATAACGACGGCGATGGGCGAATTAACCCCGCGCTTGAGTATGGCGTGCTGACTTCGAAACCGAAACGTGGGGACGAGACTCGGGGGTTCGGGACGAGGGGAGATGGTTTGTGCGGGACGCCGGGGGGGTTGGGGGAGGGGGCGCGGACTGAAAGTGCGACCGAGGAAAGGAGATTGAATTAGTCGAGCAGTCGGCACGAAGCTAAGTGGAACAAGGGCTCACACGAATCAAGAAAGTAGAGATTTTAGGAGTTCCCTGAAAAAGAGGCGGTTTGGATGGAAACGCAATTAACGATTTGCCCTGACAGGAGGTTCTCCTGAAGAGCGACACATGACATAGAACCTACCTGAAGAGAGGTGCTAGACATGGGGATTATCACCTGAAGGAGCACGATGGATCTGCCTGAAATGCGGCACTTGACACTTGGATCCACCTGAAAGCAGTACTACACCTGAAGAGCGGTACTTGTAGTATGACCAGCAGCAGCAGCGCCTGCGGAGCGAACTTCTTCAATCTGTTCCATGCCACCCCCATGATGTCTCCTCTGCCTCCTCTACCTCCTCTGCCTCCTCGTTGCAATAAAAGGCGGTTCTTTGCGATGCTGCGTCGAAAATGCTAGAGAACGCTATATTTGAAGTGTATCGCCCGTTGGAGGAAAAGGATTGTTTGCTGTGTGAGAACTGCTAATAAGATGGGTACTTCAATCCAGCATGGGAGCGATCGGTGGAAAAATGACCAGAGGGAGGGATTGGAGAATAGATGGTCTACGTCCTAAACGAATGAGGGAAATGCAGGATCGAGGCCGAAACAAAGCGATGAAAGAGCGGACGGGAACGGTGACTGGAGCTAAAAAGTTTCACTTCCAATCTCTCGCTCTCCTTTTCGTACGCTCCTTCTCGTCTTCTACTCCCTAGATTCTTCAATATGTGGTCTCAACAGAATATTCGAATTCCGCGGCAGTTGAAGGCTTGCAGTTGCGTTTGAATCCCAATCTGACACCGTGGCAATACCCCCGCCAGCGCGCGCTTCTCAATACTAGTGAGGTGAGGACAAAGAGCAGCGAAGGTGCTTCCAAGGCGCCTTACAAATATCACATACCGTAGCATTTTCAGCAGGTCATTTTGCACTTTAGTAATCCTTCTCACACATGAATTCCAGTTAATACATGAGAGTGGATTAAACATAATAGAAAGGATATATTGGGATAATGTGAAGATCTATTAGTTAGATTTTAAGAAAAAACACTTATCGTAATTTTCTGCTATGTAAACATAAGAACAACTTCATTCGGAACCCTGCTGTTGAGAACGCTACACGGACTTTATCGAATCATACAATAACTTTGTGTTCTGGTGTACGCGAACCCAGGTTTTCGCGCCAGAATTGCGTGTGCCTGACACCATTCTGCGACGAAAATAACCATCCCATCTTGACACCGTCAAGCTGTTAGTTGACTCGACTGGTTCTTACGCATCAAGGTGCCCTTAGCTTGTGACTATTTTACGCCTGTTTCTGGAGCCTCGACATTTTAAAAACGGTAGTTATATTTTCCCGTCAAAGAATCTTCTTGGCCTATTTTAAAAATGGATGACTCCTTAAAACCCAAGGACTTTCGAGAGCTAGTTCAGAGAGTGACAACGAGGTGTCGAGATACGTGCAGCCAGCATGCGGCGGAGCTTTTGGGCGAGCAAGATAAGTCTTCGAATGTTATACCTAAGGCATCGCAGATCGAGCTGAAGCAGCTCTCGTCACGCCTAACTTCTGCCATAGACTCCGTCGCTTCTGTTACGAAAGATCAAGGTCTACAGGAAACAGCTTTTTCGGGCCCCGACGACAACCAGCTTTTAGGTAAGCTAGTAGCGGAGGCGAACAGTTTAGTTCCTTATCATGGATGAATTGTACTCACTTTGATTCACTCTGTGCTGGTCTGTGGTTGTACGCAGCGTTATCCAAGGCGCAGGCGGAGGCTCTTGAGTCAGAAATAAAGGAGCTGGCTGTATTAGTAAAGCAGCGACGGACGAAGGTTCTGGAGAAGGTCCGAAATAAGCTGGGAATTAAGCTGGAACGATTGAAGAAGTCACTGAAGATAAGGAAACCGTGTGGTGCTGTAGCTGCGAAATGTACACAAGGTATTTTTGTAATTCTGACCGTTTTTTCGTTCTTCATTGCTCTTGCTCTTCAGAATCACGTTTCAGCTTCTAATGCGCTAATGCTTTTCTGTATATCATGCCAGCGACGAGCGCGATTCGATTGCGTATGCAGTCCCTTCTGGAACAAGGTGAGGAGACGACGACCATGGTTTCAGAGGTTGCTAAGAAGGCTGGTTCTGTGGCGTCCCGGCTACATAACCTAATAACATCAGCCAAGACTGAAGCAGCACGGATACCATCAACTAAGGAGAGGCTAATTGCGGGAGAGATAGCTAAGGAGAAAAGCTGCAAGCAATGAGCAGTTTTAACAGAACAGGCATAGGGAGTGGGATTGGAGTTGCAGGGATTGTACAGACTGGTAGAAGCTAGCAGGTTTTGAAATCTACCGTAGCATGCTGGAACGCCTTCAGGCTTCAGTAGTAGGGTTCTTTGCAACCATATGCTGGCAGGTTATCATTTAATGTTGGCCAGGAAAGCTAGGGTGAAATAGGTTGGCTCTCAAGTTTATTACTATGCTTAGTCTTGAATGCACATTTTTTTCGAGTTTGCCTGCTCCCTAGCTATTGTGATATCTTCGAGATATACTCTCGAGTGTACAATAATTGACAAAAACATGACAGATCACCTTTCTGTTGACGAGTATATTTGAGCAGCAGCCAACTCTAGCAAAGCCACGTCATGGCTGATTCCTAACCCAAGGGAACCCGAGGTTGCCAAGCTGGAACAAACTCAGGGTGCGTTCCTGGTTCGTGGCAAGGCCACTGTAGCAGGCACTGTTGGTGGCATGCGGGAAAACCGCATGCCACCAACATTTTGCCCGAGTCGCGCGCGACACGATTTTGGTGGAATTGACATGACATTTTTGGGACATTGCCCAATCACGCACCTGTATTTGCGCGCCAAAATTCCTGACACCAACCTGGCGTTTTATGTGTTCGTGGCAGGCTGCCATCTACAGTGGCCCTGCCACGAACCAGGAACGCACCCTCAGAGATGAACCCAGGATACCAAAGATGATCCCAACCAACCCAAGGTGATCCACTGTCTCCTCTCATATCTCCTTCCCCGTCCCCACTACTTTCAGCCAGTAGTAATCAATACTCCACTTCTGCCTCAGTAGTGGTTTGGGAGGCCTTTTCTTGTCGACCGCAAGTGCCCGTTGCGACTCGACACGCGGGCCATGCTCGAGTCGCCGCTCTCCGCGGTGTCAGCTGCATCGGCTGCTGTTCCCGGACTTCCCGCGGAAACTGGGATGTTCCGATCCGCGCTACATGTGTCCGCACGGCAGCTCCGGACCGCGATTGGTGGAGCTGCTCGGCTTTCAAGCAGCCACGTCGGCAGGCAAGTCAACAACAAATAGCTGGATGTATAGTTTGGCTATAGTATGAAGATATCAGTATAAGCGGGAACAAGATAAATTTACATTACCTTACAATTCAGGTTACCTCCCTTTTAGGGTTCACGCAAAGGTAATGTTATAGTCCATCGCCGCGCTATGATAGCCCGTTCGAGGCCTCACGCTCGTGCAGTTCTCGGTCCCTCCTTAGAGCTCACGTCGCTCGGATCCGCAACGTTTTGCGACCGTCACGAGAGGTAGTTAGACGAATGCTCGACGACCGTCCTGCATTGGACGGTTAGTGAACGCGTTACGCGGCATTTCAGCGGGGAAGGCTATGTGCATCTGGAGTGTATTCTGAAGCTACGGCTTCCCGAGGTTCCTTTCCAACTTATAACTGTTTTTTTTTTTGCAGTGCCTTGACAATGCGCATGTCGCAACCTACCTACTCCTGGTAAAAATTCGTCTTTCTCCATCCCCTCTCCTCCCCCCTGTCTGCCCTCAATTCCCTTCCCACCAGGCTCCCCCTTCCAGCCTCCGTCGTTCCCTTATCCGCCACCCGCCTCCCCCTGCACCCGCTTCCGCTCCTCTCCCGCGCCTCCCCTTCCGCTCTATCCGCCTCCGCGCGCCGTTTCCCCTCCCGCTTGTCCCCGCCGTACGGGGCAGGTCGGGCGCGGAGCGTCGCCGCGGCCTCCGCAGCCGCGGATGGGTCCGACGCCGCGCCTGCAGTAGCTGTTGCTGCGGACGAGGCGGAGCGCGTTAGCGGCGCTGGCGCCGCTGACGGTTCTGTGCCTGCAGAGGGAGGTGCTAAGGCGAAGGGGGGGAAGAAGGGCGCGCGGAAGGGGGGAAATGGCGCAACGTCTGGCGCAACTGCTGGTTCTGGAGGGGAGAGCGCGGGGGAGGATGACGTGGAGGTGGAGCTGCCACGTGAGCCGCTTCCGACCAATGAGAGCTCGGAGAAGCTGCTGCGGATCAGACACACGGTGAGTGGCGCGTGGGGCGAATGGGGCGTTTTAGGTGAGTTTCGCGTGAGATGAAGGGTGCTTGGGGTGAGTGGCTCGCGGGGTGAGTTAGACGCGGGACAAGTGGGGCGAGTGAGAGACTTGAGGGGTGTGCAGCTAGTTATTGGCAAGATAGGCGCTTGAGACGAGTGGGCCGTTGCGTCTGCCACCGTCTCTGCACCACCTTTGTTTCCTCCCCCTTCTCCCTCCTCTTCTCCCTTATCCATTTCGCCCGCTTCACCTCCCAGTTCGCTCACGTTCTTAGTAGAAGAAACACCCGAAGGTGTGTCTGTGATGGCGATGGCGGTGCAGAGGCTGTTCCCCAAGACGCAGGCCTCTCTTCCCTTTTCTCTTTCCCCACACTCTTCCCTCTTTCTCCCCTCCCTCCAACCAACCCCCCCACCCCCAAAACCCTAGCAGTCCGCGCACGTGATGGCGATGGCGGTGCAGCGCCTGTTCCCCAAGGCGCAGGTGACCATCGGGCCGTAAATTCAGAATCGACTCATTCCTTCCCCGTTCCCCCTTCCCCTTCCCCCTCCCCCTTTCCTCCCTCCCCCCAGTCCGCCCATGTGATGGCGATGGCGGTGCAGCGGCTGTTCCCCAAGGCGCAGGTGACGATAGGGCCGTGAATTCAGAATTCGACTCATCCGTTCCCCTTCCCCCCTCCCCGTTCCCTCTTCCCCACCCGTCCCTTCTTCTCCCCTCTCCGCCCCCCTCCCCAGTCCGCGCACGTGATGGCGATGGCGGTGCAGCGGTTGTTCCCCAAGGCGCAGGTGACGATTGGGCCGTGGATTCAGAACGGCTTCTACTACGACTTTGACCTCGACCAGCCGCTCACTGACAAGGATCTCAAGAAGATCAAGAAGGAGATGGTGTGTGACTGTAACGAGTGGTGGGTGTGTGACTGTAACGAGTGGTGGGTGTGTGACTGTAACGAGTGGTGGGTGTGTGACTGTAACGAGTAGCGGGTGTAGTAGTGCATGTGACGATCGGGCTGTGGATTCAGAACGGCTTCTATTATGACTTTGACTTGACCTCGACCAACCG